GTGCGCGGAGCTCCACGAGGCGCTTGTAAATCTTCAGCTCATACGTGTCCCACGTGTTGGTGCCATTACCACAAGGCGTCTTACGGGTGGTGATCCTCAGCTTGCGCGTCGGGAGGCGCAGCGGGCCACGCAGCTCCACCTTCTCGTTGCGGGCGTGTAGCAGCAGCTCCGCCATCACGTTCTCCACCGCCTTTGCGTTGCGGCTCGTCATCTTCACCAGCACGCGCTGTGTCTCCTGCAGAGGGACCTGGTCCTTCTTAACGTAGGCCATTCGTTCGTGATCACACCTGCGCGGGGCAACGCAAGCAGGCAAGGAGAAAGCAAAACAAAGCGGGACAAAAGAAAGAAGAAGAAGACAAAGCATAAAGGGAGACTGCAGCGAGAGAGACGCCAGGCCAACAAACAAACAAACACAAAAACACACAAAAAAAAAACGAACATTCTTCGTGGCGCAATGGAACGGCAGCACCATCACGCGGAGACACTACTTCTTCTCTTTAAAAAAAATTCGGGGTTTTCTTTTTATCTCGCTCCTTCTGCGAGAACATCCAATCCTGCGGCGGAACCTGTACAGTTTCATCTGACGAAAATATTAGCTGCTCTGTACCTTTGGCCTTCCGTTTAAGTGCAGCCCGATACGCCGTGTCCACAACAGGGTCTTTGTGATCCTTCATGTGCTCGTATGCCGCTAGGACCATCTCAAGAATAGAGTCCGGCACGTCAAAGTCCTCAGGGTAGGACCGAACCAATTTGTCCTCCAGCACACGCTTCTCTTCGTACCGCGAGATGCTCTCAAGGCGAGCAAAGCGCATAAGGACGGCATGCCACTGCTCGCGAAGGTACGCAGCCTCAATAAGTAGGCGCATCTTGTCAAAGGTCTCGGGGCACTCGCGCTCCCGCATTTCTCTATTAAGGTGATCAAAGTTCTTCCAATCCCGCCGCCGCATACAGCAACGCAAAAGGGCGAGGTACACTATTACGCCACCACCCTGCATCACTGGAATCTGCGCAAATCGCTGGGCCTCTGCGAAGGAGGCGCACCCCTCAATACGAGCTGCAAGTGCCACTCTAAACAGCTGGGAGGATATCGGTCGATTGTCTTTGTGCATGACGTCAAGAATCCGTATGGCTTCCTCCCACCGTCCGACCATGGCGCACGACCGCAGCGGGGATTCGTAATCCTGCTGGTACATGGTCACCCTGTTGTTTCGCATCGCGTCAAAGAGGGAAACAGCAAGGACCCACCCACTGGACTGCCGTCCGGGGTCGGTTCTTTCCGCTGCAACGCACTCCTCGCAGGAGACGAGTGCCAGGCGAACGCTGCGCTCATCCGGTGGTGAGCGGGTGGCAATCATCTGCTGCATCTGCTTCACCACATGGGCGTATTTCCCGTGTCGATAACACACACGGATTACCGCGTCGTGTGCCTCAGGAGGTATGAGGACGTTCTGTTGCCCGCAGCGGCAAAGAAAGCGCAGACACTCCTCCCACTTGTCGCCAATTTCCCAAAGGCGCGCCACAAGCTCCACCATAATGGGGGTCAACGCATTGTGCCCCGAAAACCACGCATGGTCCCGTTGGAGTACAAGAATCTCCCGTAGAGCCATTCCCACGGCAGCGAGGCATCATCTTTGTTTTCGTCTTTGTCCGTCGCCGCGTTCCCATCGCCAGGAGGGTTGGGCCGGCGACTCCCGCGAGGGCGTTGGGACGCCGCCAACGCAGCGCGAAGATATTCGGTTGTGAGATCCGCCTTAACAACAGGCACATGCGCCCCGTTGCTCGCCAAGAGCGCTGCGTCCCGTTTCCACAGCCGCACAAACTGCTCGTGGGCTTCCCTAAAATCCCCGCACTCCGCGCAAGCGGCCATGAAGGCTACATGCACCTGCAGCGAACGCGGCTTGTGAAGTTCGCGATGAAAATCGGTGTAGAGATTCCGCGCGACATCCAGCCTTCCGCGAAGGCTGCAGCGTCGGATCGCGTCACACAACATCTCGCTGCTTGGAATGAGGTTTTGACGTGCCGCATCCCTGAGAGCAGCAACAGACGCCAACCATTGCGAAGCGTGCTGGTGTTGGTCAAGAAAGGCTTTGAGCTTGGCAAGCCGCGCTGCATCCCGTCGAGCCAATAGTTTGTCGCTGCGGAGCTTGCTACCCACGAGCTCCGCGTATCCAACTCTCTTGTGCATTCACACCCAGCAGCGACGCGCAGCACGCATGAACACAACCACCGCCAACAAAATATCCTTTGCCCTTCCCAGCCGAGGCTCACGGCGACAGCGTTGTAATATATATATATATATGCAAAACAGCAACAAGAAACAAAAAAAAAAGCCACCAATGCTAACTCATGCCAGAAGCAAACACCGGCAAAGAAACCAAGGGGACGTTGCAGCTCCAATGGGAAGCAGGGGGGCTGCAAATGAGCAAGACACAGAGAGAGTTTCTGTTTGTAGTTAAATGGAAACATGGAAGAAACAACAATAACAAAATGATGGTTATAATTGGCGTGACGACGCTGGGGAAAAAGAGTATCTTCCCACAGATGGCATGAAGCAGCTACGGCGGGGTGACCCGCCACTCCTCCTGCAGGGGCGAATTACTGGTCGTGTGGGATCGTGATGGCGACGTCCACGCCGGCGTCAATGGGGAAGGACGTGATCTTCTTCACCATCTCCGTTGGTGCGCGGAGCTCCACGAGGCGCTTGTAAATCTTCAGCTCGTACGTGTCCCACGTGTTGGTGCCATTACCGCAAGGCGTCTTACGGGTGGT